CGCTCTCTCTCTCCGCGCCCTTCCCGTCGCCCTCTCTCTCGCCCCTCCCTTCCCATCGCTCTCTCTCTCTCTCCGCTCCGCCCTCTCTCTCGCTCCTCCTTCGAATCGCGCTCTCTCTCCGCTCCCTTCCCGTCGGCCTCTCTCTCCGCTCCCTTCCCGTCGCGCTCTCTCTCTCCGCTCCCTTCCCCTCGCCCTCTCTCTCGCCCCTCCCTTCCCGTCGCGCTCTCTCTCTCTGCTCCCTTCTCGTCGCCCTCTCTCTCGCCCCTCCCTTCCCGTCGCGCTCTCTCTCTCCGCTCCCGTCCCATCGCCCTCTCTCTCGCCCCTCCCTTCCCGTCGTGATCTCTCTCTCCGCTCCCTTCCCGTCGCCCTCTCTCTCGCCCCTCCTACCCGTCGCGCTCTCTCTCTCCGCGCCCTTCCCGTCGCCCTCTCTCTCGCCCCTCCCTTCCCATCGCGTTCTCTCTCTCCGCTCCGCCCTCTCTCTCGCTCCTCCCTTCGAATCGCGCTCTCTCTCCGCTCCCTTCCCGTTGCGCTCTCTCTCTCCGCTCCCTTCCCATTGCCCTCTCTCTTTCTGCTCCCTTCCCATCCTCCCTTCTCGCTCGCCTCGAATAGCCCTCCCGGCGACCTTCGACTCTCCCATCACGTATGCCCTCCTTTCTCCGTCGCCTCTCTCGTTCTCCCTCTGCTATCGCGTCAGCGTGACCCATTCCGTACTCTGTTATTGTGTTTGGTTTGTTTGTTTTTTCTGTCTTTCCATCTATTCTCGACACCCTCTCTCTCCGCCGCCTATCCTCTCTCCCGTCGCCCTCCCGTTTCCCGTCGCCCTCCCCGTTTCCCGCCCCCCTCCCGTTTCCCGTCGCCCTCCCTTTTCCCGTCGCCCTCCCGTTTCCCGTCGCCCTCGCGTTTCCCGTCGCCCTCCCGTTTCCCGTCGCCCTCCGTTTCCCGTTGCCCTCCCTTCTTCCGTCGCCCTCCCTTTTCCCGTCGCCCTCGCGTTTCCCGTCGCCCTCCCGTTTCCCGTCGCCCTCCCGTTTTCCGTCGCCCTCCCGTTTCCCGTCGCCCTCCCGTTTCCCGTCGCCCTCGCGTTTCCCGTCGCCCTCCCGTTTCCCGTCGCCCTCCCGTTTCCCGTCGCCCCCCTTCTTCCGTCGCCCTCCCGTTTCCTACGCCCTCCCTTCCAGTCGCCCTCCCGTTTCCCGTCGCCCTCCCTCTTTCTCTTCATTCGCGTCACCTTGCCCATCATAATTTCCCCCCTATTACTTTTTTTCTCTTCTGTTTCCCGTTATTGCACCTCTCCCAGGCCTCAAGTCCAAGGCAGCACATTGATCAGATCTCTACTAGCTCTAATAACGTTCAAACACTTTCACTCTCATCACGTACATGTGTGTCTGCTTGGGATTTAGCGTGAGATGTTCCTAGTTGTGAATTTGGTGAAGTATTGGCTCTAGTGAATGCAGTGTCAGAGGTCCACTGGTGATCCCCGATTGATCCTAGGGAAGGGTTACAGGCACGTTGGCCTGGGGGGTTATGGGCGCACTGACCCGCTACTTAAACAAGCCCTTTTATCCCAATGGTCTAGTGGTTGGGATTCTGACATGGTATCAGAGCGAAGGTCTCGGGTTCGAATCCCGATGTATGCACTTCGGGCATCCCAGTGCGGGGGGGTGTCAGAGGTCCACTGGTGATCCCCGATTGATCCTAGGGAAGGGTTACAGGCACGTTGGCCTGGGGGGTTATGGGCGCACTGACCCGCTACTTAAACAAGCCCTTTTATCCCAATGGTCTAGTGGTTGGGATTCTGACATGGTATCAGAGCGAAGGTCTCGGGTTCGAATCCCGATGTATGCACTTCGGGCATCCCAGTGCGGGGGGGTGTCAGAGGTCCACTGGTGATCCCCGATTGATCCTAGGGAAGGGTTACAGGCACGTTGGCCTGGGGGGTTATGGGCGCACTGACCCGCTACTTAAACAAGCCCTTTTATCCCAATGGTCTAGTGTGTGAATTAAGAAAACAGGAATGAAAATGACTAAGTGAAAGTTGGGTACAAAAAGCAAACCCTAGACAACTGTACCCCATATGTGCTACCCCACTATAGCCTACAGTAGCTATGTCATATAAATCTGACACACCCCCATAGGCAAAGTGGGGGAGAACAAGGGGTCACAAGACCAGTCAAGCAAAGCAAAACAAGCTCAGGGTGGATCACAAAGTCACCACACATTCCGAGCACAAGTTCAAGGCCACAAGGCCAGTTCACATACAGGATTGCATATACATATATATAAGACTAGACAAGCAAGAGCAGGGGTATATATATATGCAACAGTACAAACAAGGTCAAGGGGTGAGCAAGTGAGGCAAGGTAGGCACAAGACCAAGCTGAGTACAGAAGCGCTGATGATCACAAGGCGCAAGTGCCTTGGTGAAGATATCAGCAGTGTTGGCCTCAGAGGCCACGTACGCAAGCCGCAGCTGACCACGCTGCTGTAGCTCACGAGCAAGGAAGTAGCGGAGAGCAATGTGCTTCGTTCTGTGTTCCAGTCTCTGCTCTCGACACAAGGCCAGCATGGCCTTGTTGTCTACGTACAGCACTGGAGGAGAACGAGGCGGCTCTCCGAGGTCAGTCAGCAGGTAGGTGAGCCAGCGAAGCTCCTGTGCAGCCATGGCCCCGGCGTAGATCTCAGCCTCACAACTGGAGCCGAGAACAGAAGACGAGCGGGTAGCCCGCCACGAAACAGAGCCGGAACCAAGGCTGAAGGTGTAACCCTGTGACGACCGCTGCGTAGCCTGGTCGTCAGCCCAAGAAGCGTCTGCGTGCCCAGTGAGGACCACTGGACTCTGCCCTCCAAGCACAAGCCCCATGCCCGACGTACTGCACAAGTAGCGCAACACCCTCTTCGCTGCAGCCATGTGCTCCGGTCTGTGTCTCCCAGGAGCAACATAGCGTGCAAGAATGCTAAGAGGGTATGCAAGGTCAGGTCGTGTGCAGGTCATCAGGTACATGAGGCAGCCAACAAGCTCTGGGTACGGACCACTCGACTCTACGGACTCATCCGAAGGCAGAGCTGAGAGCGAGTGGCGAGTAGGCAGAGGAGTGGCCTGAGGCGAGGAGTACGTGAAGCCGAAGCGCTGAAGGACCTGCTGCACCATGTGTGACTGAGTCAGGGTAATGGTGCGGCGTGCTCTGTCCCGGGTGATCTGCAAGCCAAGGTAGCTGCGCAGTTCACCCAGGTCTGTGCACGTGTGTCTCTTCTGCAGCTCGGACTTCACGTAGGCGAGTCCAGCAGTGTCAGCTGTGGCAAAGACCAAGTCGTCGACGTACACGAGGATGTAGAACGGCGGCAGAGAGGTGTCGGTGCGTAGAAACAGCGACGGGTCGGCAGTAGAAGGAGCAAACCCAAGAGCCGCAAGTGTAGTCCTCAGTGTGTCGTGCCACTCACGGGGCGCCTGGCGGAGACCGTAGACTGGACGCCGGAGACTCCACTGGGTACCAGAAGGGAAAGACCCAGTGAAGCCAGGTGGGCGACGCAGCCAGATCTCCTCGTGCAGGCTGCCCTGCAAGAAAGCTGTGCTGAAGTCAAAAGAGTGCAGCTCGTAGTCACGGTGAGCAGCAACGTGCAGCAGTACCCGAAGAGTGGTCATCTTCGGGGTGGGGGAGAAGGTCTGAAAGTAGTCAACTCCCTGCCGCTGACTGAAGCCACGAGCCACGTAACGCGCCTTGAAGACAGGCGGAGAACCCGGCGGCCGCTTCACCCTGAAGATCCACATGCCACTGACGATGTTCGCCCCAGGCGGGGGAACCTCGTCAACGTAGGTGCCTGTGGACTTCCAGGAAGCCATCTCTGTGTCCATAGCTGCCTGCCACTGAGAGGAGTAGGGACCCTATATCGCCTCCGCGTAAGAGCGCGGAGTCGGGATGTCAAGTGCATCCGGGTCTCCCTCAGGGGTAAGCAGTACGGATACGAGATGAGGTGAAGCAGCAGCCAAACACTGGAACTCCTCCTGCCTGTCCTCAAGGACGTCCGTGCCAAGGGCACACTCACCCCCGACGGACGGAGGACAGACAGACTCAGACTCAGCAACAAGACGAGCAGCGTAGTCTAGACGACAGCGAGCAGCAAAGTCGACGAGCTCAGTAACTAGGGCAGACGCAGCAGTGGACTCAAAGGAAGGGTCAGTGACAACAGTAGCAAGGAGACGCGTGACAGTAGGACTGGCAGCACGAAGAGAGTCCGACTCCGGGTCAGGAAGAGCAGGAAGAGAGGACTCAGGAGGAGAAGGAAAAGGGGCACGCAGAGGAGCAGTGGACGGACGCAGAGACATCCGGTGCGTGCCAGGGACAGGAGGAGGACGCTGACGCGAACCACGACCACTAGTGCGAGCAGCACGGACAGGCGACGCAGGGCGAGACGCTGGCTCACGACGCTCAGCAAGACCTCCAGTAGGACCAGTGTAGGGAGAAGGAGCAGGCAGTGGGGAGGCCGGCTGTAACTGTAACTGTGACGGGACAGGCTGTGGACACTCTAAGGGAGGAGGAGGACCAGTAGAAGGCGGGAGACCAAGAACCTGCTGAAGGAGCGGAACGAAGTACGGTCGAGGCCGCGCGGCGACTCCAGACACAGCAGGGACAGCACCAGTACCCCCAGCGGCAGCACCAGCACCAGCAGCACCTCCAGCTCCAGTACCTCCAGCAGCACCAGTAGCACCCCCAGCAGGACCGCCTCCAGGACCGACAGCAGTAGCCTCAGCGCCAACACCCTCAGCAGCTCCAGCTCCAGTCGTACCCGCAGGCCCAGCAGCTCCAGTACTCCCAGTACGAGCACCTCCGGGACTGGCGGCACCAGCACCCTCAGCAGCCGAAGAACCTCCAGATCCAGCAGCACGCCTCCAGCGCCGGGCAAACCACTCGCGCAGCTCCTGTGGAGAGAGTGGCTCCCGCCGAGACGAAGCACCCGGAGAACCTCCAGGCTCAGCACCGCCAGACGCCACACGAGCAGGCCCAGCTCCCTCAGGCTCCGCACCCCCAAGCTCAGCACCTCCAGGCGTGGCACCCCCAGGCTCAGCACCCCCAGGCGTAGCACCCCCAGGCTCAGCACACCCAGGCTCAGCACCCCCAGGCTCAGGACCCCCAGTAGTAGCACCCTCAGGCTCAGCACCCCCAGAGTCAGCACCCCCAGGCTCAGCACCCTCAGCAGCACCAGAGTCACCAGTAACCTCGACAGGCTCGACTGCGTCTACCTGGGACACACCTGAAGGGGCAGGACCCTGAGGGGGGAGGGGGTCTACCGGGGGGGGACCTGGTACAAGGAAGAGCGGTGGCGGGGGGAGGGACGGAGTGCGGTAGGGGAAGAGGCGGTAGTAGGGGACCGACTCGTCAAACGTGACGTCCTGGGAGGACAGAACACGGCGAGAGGTGGGGTGGTAGAACTGCCACCCTGGCGCGTCAGGGGGGAAGCCAAGGAAGACGCAAGGAGCAGCACGAGGGGACAGCTTGTCCGCAGACAAGTCACGGACAAACGCCCGAGATCCCCAGACACGGAACGCAGACGCATCGCCAACCTTCCCCGTCCACAGCAAGGCTGGGGAGGTCTCCGGCATGGAGACCCTGGTGTGAAGGTTGATCTGATGCGCCGCGTACCGAACCGCAAACGGCCACAGAAAATGGGGGGCAGCCGCATGCATCATGGACGTACGGGCGACGTCCATGACCATGCCAATGCGGCGCTCAGCAATCCCATTTTGCTGTGGAGAGTCCGGAAGCGTGAAGGTCTGGCGGATACCTCGTGCACGACAGTAGGCTCGCAGAAGGCCAGAGGAGAACTCTCCACCTCTGTCAGAGTGCAGACGCTGAACAGGAAAGTCCGAGCTGAAGCTCTGCCTGAGCTGGAGACGAGCTGCGCGGATCCAGTCGATCAACACCTCAGTGACATCGCCCTTGCTGCGCAAGGGGAAGACTGTGGTGTAACGCGAGTAGTCGTCAACCACCAGCAGGAAGTAGCGCTCGTGACCCTGTCCACGGACGCGGGCCGGGCCCCACACATCCATGTGAAGCGTCTGCAGCGGGGCCTCTGTCGGAGGAAACTGGGAGGAGTGAGGGGCAGCCCGCTGCCGCCCCTCGACATAGGGGACGCAGGCAGGGCCAGGCCCCGGAGGAAGGGGAGGGAGGGACCGGGGAAGACCAGAGACAAGGACACGGGAGGCCATGCCTCGGAGACGAAGCAAGGAGGGGTGACCAAGGCGGTGGTGCCAGAGGAGAGTCTCGTGAGACAGGAGGCGACACGAACAGGGGGCAGACTCAGGACCAGATCTGGACGCTGCAGCAAACACCTGACCCGACGCAGCTACCTGACCAGACGCAGTGACTGGAGGAGACTCAGTGGTCAGGGTGTACAGGCTCGACCCCGGCCGACGGGTAAACGTGGCCAGGTGGCGGCCTGTCCGAGCGTCCGTGCAGTGGGTCACCCGCTGACTCGCAGGAGTGAACTGGTGAACCCCCGCATCCTGTAGGTCAGCACCACTCACCAAGTTCGTAGAGAACGAGGGAAGGTAAAGACCAGACAGGGTGCCAGAGGGGGCCGCCGGACACGGGAGGACAGTGGAGAAGTGAGCAAGGACAGGACCCCCAGAGGGGTCTGCCAGAGAGACTGCAACTGGCCGGCCAAGCGGCGTGAGTGTGGTGCGGTCTCGAAAGAAGGAGCGAGAAGCCCCCGAGTCAAGGGTGAAGGTGTGGGAGGCCGAAGCCGACGCAGAACCTGAGAGAGCAGACTCACCAGCACCTGAGGGAGCAGACGCACCTAGAGCAGCAGCCTCGCTAGCACCTAGAGCAGCAGCCTCACCAGTACCTAGAGCAGCAGTCTCAATGCCCGGGTCGGGCGGAAAACACCGGTAACAGTCACCCTCATCACTAATAGTCACAGTATACATGGCAGCAATAATAGCATCAAAGTCAAGGTCAAAGACAGCTACACCCGCCCTAGACAGCTCACCCCAGCGGGGGATCTCAGTGGCCTCAGGGAACTGGTGACGCCAAGCGTCCGTCAGGCGGCCAAAGCAGCGCTGGGTGGAGTGCGCACCCCCGCACTGCTCACCCGCGCGGTCGCCGGTGCGGAGGACGTAGGTGCACGGACCAGTACCCCCACCCCTCTGGCGTGCAGCGTACCACTCACGGAGCTGCTGAGGGGAGGGGATGTCACGAGTGCGCTGCTGCTGCTGCTGCTGCTGCTGCTGCTGGCGCTGACCACCACCGGAGCCGACCCTCTGCGCAGCGCCACCCCGACCAGCTCCACCTCCTCCGCCGCCTCCTCCTCCACCGCCGCCACCTCCGCTCCCACCGCCACCGCCGCCGCCGCCTCCGCCTCCACTGCCGCCACCGACGCCTCCACCCCCGCCACCACCCCCACCGCCACCCCCACCCCCTCCACCGCCTCCACCTCCGCCTCCACCGCCCCCGCTAGCTCCTCCAGTGCCCCTGCCCCCCTTGCCCTTGCCAGGGCGACGTCTCCTGCTAGGGGTAGACGCCGCACCGACTGACTCAAGCCCAACGAGGTCGGCCGCAGCAGCAGAGGCAACAGAGGGCAAAAGGGGGGAGGGGGAACACCCCTCAAAGATGGGGGTGCGAGGGTCACCACGAGAGGCTCCTACAGCGACTATGCTCTTCTCTGCTGCTAGGAGGGACTTCTCGAGGAGGTCAACGGTGAGAGTGGTGGGGCAAACTGAGAGGAAGTGGTCCCTGACTACGCGAAGGGAGTCAGGGAGCCGGGTGACTATGTAGTAGAGGGTGATGTACATGGGGGGGGGGTTCTTGGCGCAGAACTCAGCAGGAAGCGCAGCGCGGTAGCGAGTGTCACTAGTGCGGAGGTGCGTAATGAGGTCAGCGACTGTGGGAAAGGCAGCAAGGTCAGGGAAGAGGTACGGTAGCATGAGGCGGCTCAGTGCAGCAGTGGCAGGGGAGGAGTAGCGCGCAACTACAGCGTCGTACAAGGTCTGAGCACTCTTGTACTGGCTAAAGTGCGCACGCTCAGAGGTAGGCAGGTGGCGACGCACAGCAAGACGTGCAGCAGCATCGCGCGTGGCCCACTGTGAGCGAACAGTGGCGTCAGCATCAGCAGCGGGGGCAGGAGAGGCACCAGAAGTGAGGTCAAAGAGGGAGAGGCCGTCTGCCCTGTCGCACTGTAAGAAAAGCTGCAGGTCATCTATCCAGACATCAAAGTCAATGGCCCGACCCTCAGCGTCAAAAGCGAGGACACTAGGGGTAGCCATGACAGTAGTAGACAAGCAGCGCAAACAGTAGGGTGAGGGCAGTGCTGTGAAAGGGGCGCTGCTCTTACCGGACAGGGCGGCTCGGGTGGCTCGGCTGCAGGGCGGCTCGGCGGCTCGGCTGCTGGGCGGCTCGGCGGCTCGGCGGCTCGGGTGCTGGGCGGCTCGGTGGCTCGGCTGCTGGGCGGCTCGGCTGCTGGGGCGGTTCGGCGGCTCGGCGGCTCGGCTGCTCGGCGGCTCGGCGGCTCGGCGGCTCGGCTGTTCGGCTGCGACTGCTGCTGCAGAGACGGCGGCGGCTGCTGCCTCAGGGACGGCAGCGGCCGGCCGCTAGGGGTCGCGTCAGGTGCAGGAGAGGGCCGCGTCAGGGGCGGCGTAGGGGCCGCGTCAGGGGCGGCGAAGGGGCCGCGTCAGGGGCCGCGTCAGGGGCCGCGGCAGGGGCCGCGGCAGGGGCCGCGTCAGGGGCCGCGTCAGGGGCCGCGGCAGGGGCCGCGGCAGGGGCCGCGTCAGGGGCCGCGTCAGGGGCCGCGTCAGGGGCCGCGTCAGGGGGCCGCGTCAGGGGCGGCGTAGGGGCCGCGTCAGGGGCCGCGTCAGGGGCCTCGTCAGGGGCCGCGGCAGGGGCCGCGTCAGGGGCGGCGTCAGGGGGGGGCGTAGGGGCCGCGGTAGTGGCGGCGGAGGGGCCGCGTCAGGGGCCGCGTCAGGGGCCGCCTCAGGGGCAGCGTAGGGGCCGCGTAGGGGCCGCGTCAGGGGCCGCGGCAGGGGCCGCGTCAGGGGCTGCGTAGGGGCCGCGTCAGGGGCCGCGTTGGGGCCGCGTCAGGGGCCGCGTTGGGGCCGCGTCAGGGGCCGCGTAGGGGCCACGTCAGGGGCCGCGTTGGGGCCGCGTCAGAGGCCGCGTAGGGGCCGCGTCAGGGGCGACGTAGGGGCCGGGTAGGGGCCGCGTAGGGGCCGCGTAGGGGTCGCGTAGGGGCCGCTAGGGGGGGGGGGGGGGGCGCTAAAAAAAAAAAAAAAGGGCAGGGGCGCAATGCGCGTCGGGCAGCTAAAAAAAAATTTCGTTATGGTGGGCCCTTAGGAAGGAACGGTCCCATGTAGGAACCCGCTCTATACCATGTGAATTAAGAAAACAGGAATGAAAATGACTAAGTGAAAGTTGGGTACAAAAAGCAAACCCTAGACAACTGTACCCCATATGTGCTACCCCACTATAGCCTACAGTAGCTATGTCATATAAATCTGACATAGTGGTTGGGATTCTGACATGCAGGAGTGCTCGTCGCTCAACTTTGCGCCAAATTCGCACATGTACATGTGAGAGAAGCGGGCTGCCAATCAGAATTGACAATGAACTATCGTTCCTGGTCCAATAAGAAACTCGTCCGAGGGTCGGAAAAAAAAGCACACATACAGCAATTCCAACATTCCAAAACAAAACAAAAATACTTCATCTTCAAGTTGACCCAACTAGAAGGGGGGGGTCACTATTTTGCCTGCTGGCTTTAAACATACTGTCTGCGTAGTATAGGAGTAGGGAACGTACTTGCAGTTTTGGCAATTATTGGTAGCGCGGACATGTACTGTATTGTCCGCTCCCTCCCCGTACATAACCAAGTCCCTTCCGCGGATCTGGATCGCCGGTGTTTGTGCTGTTGGTGTAGGTACGTGCCAGATTGGAAGTTGACCAATCACAGTGGGTCGCATATAATTGTCGCGATGATGCCCAAAGTCGCAATACATCAGTCGATTGGGACATGCAGGATCGAGAAATTTGAGCGCGACTCGGCAAAAGTGGGATTGGGACACATCGATTGGGACACATTCCACAGCGGAATGTACCCTAAGAATGTACTCTATGTCAGAATGTCATTGTTCTCTAGCCTGCAGTGGGGTACTCTATAGCGAGTACAACCCCTTAGGGTTTCCTATATGTATCCTGCTGCTTTCTAGTGAACCCCCTTCTTCTTCATTCTAAACTTCTCTACCTACTAATCTTTACATGTACATGTGAGGGAACCTGGCTGCCAATCAGAATTGACAATGAACTATCGTTCCTGGTCCAATAAGAAACTCGTCCGAGGGTCGGAAAAAAAAGCACACATACAGCAATTCCAACATTCCAAAACAAAACAAAAATACTTCATCTTCAAGTTGACCCAACTAGAAGGGGGGGGTCACTATTTTGCCTGCTGGCTTTAAACATACTGTCTGCGTAGTATAGGAGTAGGGAACGTACTTGCAGTTTTGGCAATTATTGGTAGTGCGGACATGTACTGTATTGTCCGCTCCCTCCCCGTACATAACCAAGTCCCTTCCGCGGATCTGGATCGCCGGTGTTTGTGCTGTTGGTGTAGGTACGTGCCAGATTGGAAGTTGACCAATCACAGTGGGTCGCATATAATTGTCGCGATGATGCCCAAAGTCGCAATACATCAGTCGATTGGGACATGCAGGATCGAGAAATTTGAGCGCGACTCGGCAAAAGTGGGATTGGGACACATCGATTGGGACACATTCCACAGCGGAATGTACCCTAAGAATGTACTCTAGTGTAGCGATACATTTTCTCTGGATAGGGCGTAGAATTTCAGTCTGTTTAAGTAATTCTAAAATACGTAACTCTACAAACTATTTAGTCCTGTGTTCTCTAGCCTATATCATAAATAAATGCTGACTTGCAATCCAGATTCTCAATCATCACATCATGTAATATTGCTGGAAAACCTCCAGAACTTTCAAGCAAAGATCACATCTGAAAAGCACGAAATCGCATGTCACCGGATGGAAGTGCAGTGCACTCTTTCGAAACTCTCCCTTCGTTTGCGCCTATCTGGTCACTCCGCCCAAGTAACGAAGTGGTGAACAATCAGGCAGACCAGACCTCATCCCAACAGCTTGAAGTTGGTGCGATTCATGTCCGTCGCATCGCATCGCTGCCAACACATCGCGTCGCTGCCAACCCTAAACTTCTGAACCCAACACTGCCAAAAGTTGCCCGTCGCTTTAAAACAGAAATCCTCATCCCATTCCCATTCCGAGGCGAGAACGTGAGTGAAAGCGGAGGTGAGCTCGGCTCGCGTCGCGTCGCGTCCGAAGCCGAAGCGTCGGAAATGTCTATGCTGCTGTCCCATCGCACCGCAGAGCACAGTGATGCCATGGCGAGTTCGGGCCGGTCGGGTGGTACAACCAGCCATTGCGTGCTACTCCGCGGCAGCAGCATCTGCGCGTTACAGGCGAGAGAATCCGCTTCTGCGACCCCGATCGGTACAATCGGAGCCGTTCATCCATTCCTCGCACCGCGGCCAGCGTTTTAAACGAAGGCCTATCCTATCGTCGTCGCGGGATAGTGAAGGGAGAGGGTGATCGGAAGCGTCGCCGTGTGTATCGCTGCCCTGATTTCTTCTTGTTCAAGGTTCCGCTCTTGACGCGCGTTACGCAATTTTCGCATTGTACTGCTCGACAAACTGATAGCGGGGTGGAGCATCGAGTGTAAGCGTCCGCTTTGTCTGCGCGTTGGAAACGCTTAGCGGCACATAGCAGCAGTCTGCAGGAGAGAGCAAGAGAGAGCAGCAGGCAACATCAGAGAGCAGCCGCATCCTCGCCCTCCCCCGTGCCTCGCCGCTGTTCCCTTCGCGCCGTTCCGCGCCGTTTACTCCGCACCGATTCTTTCCGCGCCGATTCTTTTCGCGCGCCTCCCGCTCGTCTGCTCCCTCCGACGACGCGCGCGATGGGCGACGAGGGCTGCGACGACGCGAGGGCGTCGCTGCTGTCGCACGAGAGCGAGCCGGAGTGGGCGCAAGTGGCGGGCATGGCGAGCGACCTCGTCGTCACCATCGGCCAGCGCGCCTTCCACGTGCTCCAGTACCCGCTGTACGCGTTACTAGCCGTGATCCGTTTCACGTGCACCAGTACCCGCTTTACGGTCTGCTTTCTCCGTTTCTCAGTACGCGTTTACGCCTTGCTACACGTGCTCATGCGCTCTAGGATATGTAACCACGCTTCATGGTTCAGACGCACTAAACTCTCCCTCCGTCTAGACTTTCCTCTCCTGTCTCCCTCCTTTCTCCCCCCTTCCCGTCCCTCCGCTCACCCTCCCTTCCCGTCCCTCCGCTCACCCTCCCTTCCCCTCCCCCCCTCCCAGCTTCTCCCTGTCAACGGTGATAGCGAGCGCGGCAGCAGCAGCGGACGAGGGCACGGGCCCCACGCAAGCGGACCTCTCGTTCCTCCCTGGTGGCGCGCTCTCCTTCGTCCCCATCGCCTGCTACTGCTACGCCCGCCCCTGCCGCCTCTCGCCCCACTCCATGCTGCTCGTGCGCTCTGCAGGTACTGATGCCCCTCCGAGGCAGGAGGAGGAGAGTGTGGGAGTTTGCGTGTGGGGAGTGCGGGAGTGGGGAGTGCGGGAGATTGGGAGTGTGGGAGTGCGGGATAGGAGGTGATGTTAGCCGGGGGTAGAGGTAATGACCTTGATTTATGTGCGCTACAGCACTGCACCGTGCTGTATCCCATGTGTTGACCATTTCTGCTCTGCACCCATTCTCTCCTCATCCCCAATCTTCTCAACCCCCTCCCCCCATTCTTATCATTCTCCCTCTTCTTATCCTCCCCCTTTCTCGTCCCCCATGTTCTCACCTTCCTTCTTTTCTCCCCCCCTCTCCTCCTCCCTCCTCTCCCCCTCCCTCCGCCAGCATCGCTGCTGGAGATGAACGCGTGTAGGTCCATCCACACACTGCCACTGTTTCTGAGGCTCTGTAAACCTCCCTTTCCCCCGCTCTCCCCCCTTCCCCCCTCTCCCCTCTCCCCCCTTCCCCCTATCCCCCCTTCCCCCGCTCCCCCCTTCCCCCTCTTCCCCCTTCCCCGTCTCCCCCCTTCGCCTCCTCCCGCTGGCAGCATCGCTGCTGGAGATGAGCGCGTGTGGGTCCAGCCACGCACTGCCACTGCCTCAGCTGGCAACGCAGCGCCTGCAGCACCTCCTGCTGCACTGCCCGCCCTGCCTGCATGTGCTCTCGTCGTATGTCGGGATTTGGAGAGGGTGGGGCGGGATGGGATGGGATGGGATGGGATGGGATGGGGTGAGATATGGAATGGGGGATGTCCATACTGTGCCTTGGCATGTGATGCGCTGTCCTTTTCACATCTGTATGCTTCAAGTCCTTACTCGTGTGGACTGATGACAACTCCTCACCTCCTCTTGCATGCACGCCCGCACATTCCTTGCTCACCTTTTCACCATTGCCTTCACTCTCCCCCACCCACTGCCTGCCACCCACCGTCTCCCATCTGCCACCACGGTAATCTCCCATCCACCTTCCTTTCCTCTCGCACTCTCTCCTAACCCACCGCTGTGAGCTATTCCGCGTTGACCTTCCGCCCCCGACCCTCTGTGTCTCATTCTCCGATGTCTCTCTCGTCCCCTTTCAAATTACCCCCTCCAACCCCTCCCCCCTCCCTTTCTCCTTTTTTCCCATTTTTCCCCCTTTTCCCCTTTTTCCCCTTCCTCCCCTTCCTCCCCTTCCTCCCCATCCTCTCTCTCCCATCCGTCCGTCCACCCGGCGCGCTATGTGAGTGCAGGCAGAAGCAGGGAATGGACGCACAGCAGCTGAGCAGCACACGGCAGCGCTACTACTGCCACTGAGTGCACGACTGCCGGCAGCAGGGGCAGCAGCGGCAGCAGCAGGAGGAGAAGCAGAGGCGGCAGTGGGGCACGGCCTATGGGGATGTCTCCTTGCTCACTGATATGCTCGACTGGCAAGAAGCTTTCCAGTCCGTGCTTGTTGTGGCAGCTGTGCTTTTGAAACTCCTATGTGCTGCTGACTAGTTGTGTGATCATGCGTCCATTCTATGTTTCGATTGAAAGAGGCCGGGCCAGCAGTCTCCATGCCCCGCCACTCCTTCCCTGAATGCTCTTCCTAACTCCCAAACACGCCTCCATTGCTCTCTGTCGCTTTCTCCCCTCCCTCTCCCACCTTCCCCTCAACACACCACAATCAAGCCCTGCAGCATCTCGCTCGTCTCCTCCCCCGACCCCGCCACCCTGCCTCTCTCCACCCACCTGCTCTTCCACCTGCTCTCACACGCCTGCCTCTGCGCCATGCTACGCTCCTCCCTGCTCTTCCACTTCCAAGCTGCCACACACCGCCCCACTCCGCCCCACTCAGGATGTTGGGGTGGTGCAGCATCTGTTTCCCCTCCCACTCCCCCATGTCCATGTGAGCGCATGCTGCCTCTCTCCCATGCCGTGCCACGCCATGCCTCGCGCCGCTCCTCCCGTCTCTTCCTCTACCAACCTGTTCCACAGCCGTGATATACCAAGCTGGCATCCCACTCCAAGCCGCCGTTTCTCTCCTACGCCATCTTCTCTCTTCTGCTACTTTCTCATCTACACTAGAAGAGTCCACATGGACGCTCATTGTGGACAGGGTAACCATATGATGGAAGGAACGAGTGCATACATACTCATAAACCATATGAATGGTATTGGTATGATCATTTCCCAATACGAGCCATCATTGGGAGACAATCATGGTACGGTACCGTATGTTACACTACACTACAATTAGTATGTGTTCTGCTTTGTGTGGTGAATCATCCGATTAGTCACTTATTTGGTACTTACCCCTCTCTCGCCTCTCCTTGGATCGTCCCCCATCACGTCACCTCTCCCTGGCCCACTGATGCCCTATTAAGCACGGTCTCCCCGCGTGTAGGCCCCACTCTCTGGCTGACTTCTTGATTAGCCATGGAATTTATCAATAGCCAATCAGACATAGGTACAGAAAAGGGACCTATACATAACAACCGCTATGATTTAAATATGCAGCACACGTTCCACATGTTGCTACTACACGTGTTCTGGCATCCGAAGGAGTTAAGTATGGTAAGAGGTGGTTATGCGGCAGCTTCAGACAAGAGTGTTAGACGGAAGTAGCAGAGTCATGGGTGGAGGCGGAAGGAGGAAGACCCCGGGCATGATGTTAGTCTGCAGAGCACAACACATGAAACACGAAGGTTGTCAACACTCTTCCTACAAAGGACAATTCAAATGCACGTTCCAAGAGAAAAATGTATAAAAAGAAATGACAATGACCGTAGGACAGACCTGAAGAGCAGCAGCACGACGGCGGAGCTCACGATCAGCAAGGATGGCGCGACGCAGTGCATCTGCAGGCAAAAAAACAGAACGAGAATCAGTAATTGAATACGTATAAGAATCCCCCTAACCCTGCAAAACATTGAAGCCCCAACCTTAGGTCATCAGGAAGAGAAGAGAGAGGGAGAGAGAGAGAGAGAGAGAGAGAGAGAGAGAGAGAGAGAGAGAGAGAGAGAGAGAGAGAGAGAGAGAGAGAGAGAGAGAGAGAGAGAATAATGAATAAATTCAAAAAAGAAGCAGAACGTATATATCAGACCTTTTTCATCCATGTGAGAGCTCCGGAGGCGCATCATAAATGAACGAACGCCACGACGTCTGTCGGCGTTGTTAGGGTTGGTTCGCCCAACCACGGAACCTAAGGCGAAAGCATCTACGACGGCGGAATGACGGCGAAATGGAAGCGCGTGTGTGAAACGGTGGAAATCGGCCTACGGTGGGGAATAGAGGCTACGGCGTGAGAAGCGGGAGAGAAATCGAGAAGAAATGTGCTAGGAGGGAGAGAGAAGGAGAAGCATCGAGAATGAGATTGACGAGGGGAAAAATGTGCTTCGAGACCGAGGCGCGTTCGAGAAAGTTCGGGATTCGGTCTTGAGGAGTGTTCACCGAATTCGGTTCGGTTGCGTGTGCGACTAGGGGTGAAACGAGGCGCACGCGGTTACTTGGGAAACAAGTGAAGTTACGAATCGCATTTTGTGTCTTGCTTGACTATAAACCTGTTTGTACTCATTCTGGAAATACAACATTGATACCAATCAGATTCTGAAAATTGCTGAAGTGTGTATTGACAACTTCAAGCAGAGCTGCGCATATTATTGGATTCGGGAGACCGTGGAGAACACGATAGGCGATAGCAAGTAGACTATTGCCGACTAAGGTGCTTACGATCCTGAGAACTGGTATCAGAGCTGGTTTAAGTGGCGTTTAAGCATTCTTAAGTGCAGAGCGAAGCTTTCGAGATGGTCGGCGGACAATCGGAAGCTAGTTCGGGCTCCTCTGTGAGTATTGGAGATCCCCAAGTGAAGGCACTTCTGGAAATGCTAGCGCAAGGAGGGGTGGTGACAAAGCCCACCATGGGGCTCAGTGAAGCCCAACGATTCCACGGCCAACACTACATCACGTGGAGATTGAAGTTCATAAGGAGGGCGAAGGAAGTCGGTTTTTGGGAGTACTACCGACCGGATGGAGAAGGTGACGCAGCCGCGCGTAAGGCGAGATCGGATGAAGAAAAGGCGGAATACAAGAAGAGGAGTAAGCATGCGTTTTTTTCAGTTATGTCATTCCGTTGCTGACGGGATTGCAGTGGGTTTGGACGAATTTGCAGAGCGCGAGAACTCTGCACAGGCGGCATGGGCTTACATGGAGTCTACATACCTCGGGCATATGGACGCAAACATCGCCGACACAAGGAAGAAGCTGCTGTTAATGACCATGGAGCCGAACCAGAAGATTATTGACTATGTCAACATGGCGAGGAGCTACAACGACGACTTAACTGCGATGGGCGAGCCGGAAACCGAGCGGGCGATGATCGGGCACATCGTCAACGGTCTACCGGAAGATTGGGCGGGTGAGCGGCCGGCGTTGATCTGCCACCCACCGGAGAATATGACGAAGCTTATTGCCATGCTTCAGGCGTTGGAGCGAGCAAGAGAGCATCAGAAGCGACGGGAGAAGTTTACAAGGGGCTTTGTGGAGGAGAAGCCTGCGTTGGTGAATGCGGCAGCTGCTGGAAGGAGCTCGGGAGCGTGCTACCAGTGTAGACAACTCGGGCATCGTGCGTTTGAGTGTGTGGAGAACCCGAGGAGTAGAAACTACTAAGGGAACGGTGCGGGATGGAGTGGTGGACAGCAACACGGAAGGTTCAATGGTGCGTGCCATCACTGCAAGAAAATTGGGCATCGTGCGATTGATTGCTACTTGAATCCCAACGGCCGTAACTACAAAGGACCGTTGAAGCAGGAGCAGCAGCAGAACGTGGAGGCCAAGGCTAACGTGGCGGAAGCGGAGAAGGAAGAAGTGGATCCGATTTTGGGGGAGCACATCTTGCGAACGTGGTGCGTTTACCAATGGAGGTTCGGCAGACGGACGGACGTGAGAAGACGACATGGTTCATGGACAGCGGATGCACGCGTCACATGACATTCAGGTTAGATTGGATGGAGAATGTGAGGGAGTCGAGTGAGGATTATATACTGCAAGGTAACAGTGGAAAGTTACCAGTGACAGGAGAGGGTGACGTGGTGCTGCGGAGTCCGTATGGAGTAGTGAAACTGGAGAGTGTGTTGCTGGTTGCGGATTTGAAGGTGAACTTGGTCAGTCAGTCACAGCTTGATGACTTGGGGTGCAAGATATTCTATGACAGTGGTGATGTGACTGTGTTTGGTCCTGAGTGGGAGAAGTATGCTGATGGTTACTTCAGTGACGGGTTCTATGAGATGAACTTGGTCGCGACGAATGATATGGATGAGATTTATGAGGATCCTGAGTATGGTGAGATGGGAGAACTGGAGGAGTTATTGACTAAGGTTGATGAGAGTGAGGACTCGGATGATATGGCTGCGAGTGTGGAGGCAGCAGTGAAGCAGGAAGAGGAGATAGTGATCACGGAGGCAGCAGCAGTAAACGGTGGAGATGGAGACGATGTCAACACTTTTGCAGCAGCGATCGTGGTTGAAGATGAAGCAGTAAATGCGAAGTATGTGGGAGTTGAAGCTGTGAAAGGGGACATCATGGTGAAAGGATCGAAGGCGAATGCAACTGCAAAGGGGCAAGTGCTTAAGGAGGATGAACGCGTTGAAGGGTACGAGACCCGAGAGGTGTTGGGTGTAAAGATGCCGAGGAGAAGCGAGAGGCATAAGAAAATCTCTCAAGGTTTGGATGCCAAGGCGCTCAACTACAAGACACATAAGCAGAGGTTCAAGGTGCAGGAGCTGCAGGGGAGCGTGAAGCCGACTTAGACCCTGTGAAGGCTACAAGGAGCAGGGGAGCAGTGCGAGTGGTGTTCGTGGTTGACGAACCACAGGGGAGATTGTTAGGGTTGGTTCGCCCAACCACGGAACCTAAGGCGAAAGCATCTACGACGGCGGAATGACGGCGAAATGGAAGCGCGTGTGTGAAACGGTGGAAATCGGCCTACGGTGGGGAATAGAGGCTACGGCGTGAGAAGCGGGAGAGAAATCGAGAAGAAATGTGCTAGAAGGAGGGAGAGAGAAGGAGAAGCATCGAGAATGAGATTGACGAGGGGAAAAATGTGCTTCGAGACCAAGGCGCGTTCGAGAAAGTTCGGGATTCGGTCTTGAGGAGTGTTCACCGAATTCGGTTCGGTTGCGTGTGCGACTAAGGGTGAAACGAGGCGCACGCGATTACTTGGGAAACAAGTGAAGTTACGAATCGCATTTTGTGTCTTGCTTGACTATAAACCTGTTTGTACTCATTCTGGAAATACATTGATACCAATCAGATTCTGAAAATTGCTGAAGTGTGTATTGACAACTTCAAGCAGAGCTGCGCATATTATTGGATTCGGGAGATCGTGGAGAACACGATAGGCGATAGCAAGTAGACTATTGCCGACTAAGGTGCTTACGATCCTGAGAGGCGTCCTCCACGATTTCCTCCACAATGTCTTCCACTTGCAACGCCCTCTCCACCACCCGTTCCATCATCCTCTTCAGCGCCGCTGCTGTCGCCGCATCCGTGCTGTGCACGCCTTCACAAATGCTTCTGATAATGGCTTCCTCGATGGAGCCCTGCAGCTCGTTGTCGCCGTGCACAGCGTGGCAAGTTCCCAGGGCGTCGATGTAAATAGGAAGGCACATGTGCACGGAGCCTTCTTTGTTGCCGTAAATCACCCGGCAGGATACCCGCATGACATCCATTGGCTCGGTTGGTGCCGCAAAAAGTATGAAAACGTGAAATTGGGAGTCTGAAATGGTGGCAAATGGTGGCAAATGACTAGCTGAGAACCTCTGCGGCTCTTTTATATCCTGGTGAAGGGGAATGGAATACTCCTGACCTTGGTTTGCGGGACCACTCCCAGGTTCCGCAAGAGTAAATGCCGCGGATGGTACATGCACTCCCATCCCGACTCCTTTTCCAACCCCAGCGCTCTTCGCGACATGCGGTTTCCCCGCCGAGGACCCGTTTTTTGCGAAAACTTAACTGTGAAGGAAAGCTTTTTGCGACCTTCGTGACTTCTACAGGTTCATTGTGGTTGGCAGGAGAAACTGATGGTAACTAAATGGCCTGTGGCACGCGAAAGTCGTAAGGGACTAATGCGCCACAGACTACCACGAGAAGAAGTAGAATCACCGGAAGGAATCACATCTCGTCAAGGCGCTGTCGTCGTACCAGCGTGTGACACGTGGTATAGAACCTCTTGTCTCTTCACAGAAACTTCATCTGCACTCAATTGGTTTGGAAGCAAAAATAATCCGGTGTCTTCGATACTGAGTCTGTTCAATATGAACAAGCGATGCTTTAACAACGACTAAACTACAATCAGTTTTTCAAGTAATTTCTGTACGGTTACCTGAACTATGAATCGTAAACCCGAAGCCCTAAACACTTCGTACCTCAAATACCTCGAGTCGCAAGTTGCCACCAGCAAAAGTGTAGGAACCTCACAGATCCTCCTCGTGGGTATGCGGTTCAGAAAATCTCGCGTTATAGATCTGCAGCTGGCAGATTAGGACGGTAGTTAAACTTCTGACGCACTCTTTGGAAATCCAAGTGAGCGGTTAGCGGGATTCGTGCCAGGTGGTCGCTATCCACATGAGCGCGCTATAACGTTTCGCCTCGCCGAGGGCGCGCGGTCCCAGTAGTTGGGGAACATGGCGTGGCGCGGGGGGCGAGGGGGACGCGGAGGCCGCGGAGGGTTCGGAGGGAGAGGCGGCGGGGCTGGTGCAGTGGCACGGGACGATGAGGGGTCGATCGTGTTTGCGGGTCGCGACGAAGGGCCCCCGCCATTGTTTCCGGTGCGCACGGGTTTGATTTCCCGTCCACGTGCGCTCGTCGTTTGCTACTGCGACGGCCTCGCAGCGCGTGGTCGTCCTGACGAACTTTCTCTCTGCCGTCGCGCTGCGTCCCGCGACGTTAACCCTTATCTCTCCACGCCCGATCCCTCTTTTCTCCCCCTGATGCTGCTCTCCTCTTTCCTCTGCCCGCCAGCCTGTGGAAATGCTGCCCGAGCTGCCCGAAATCGCTCCCAAGGACGAGGCGATGCTGCAGCGGCGGCGGCGCATGGCGTCATTCTGGCGCTACTCCGCCTACTACGTCGACCGCCCTCCGCCCGACAGTAAGGGGCACTCGGGAGGTGGGGGTTAGGTGGCAGAAGAGAGAGGGGGAAGAGTGTGGGGAGGGGAAAGGAAGGCGGAAGGGGAGAAGGAGGGGTGGGACGGGTGGGACGGCAGCGCGGGGGCAAGGAAGCGGGATAGGATGTGGTAGGTGGGTGAGCAGGAGAGAGGAAGAGCATGTGCAAATGCAGCACAAGTCAGGGCCCCCCTTCACATGGTTGTCCGCCATCCCTCAGCTCCCCATTCCGCCCTTTCACCTATACCACCTGTCTACCCCAACCCCTTCTTTTCCCAACTATTCTCCTCTCCCCGTCTACCCCTTCTTCCTCTCCTCCCTTCCCGGTCGCCCCTCTCGTCCTCAACTTCCTGCCAAGTGCGGTGCAGAGGGAGTGGCAGCGGACATAGCAGCGTACACGAAGCCGCCACAGCGGCTCTTCCGGCGCCACCGCCTCTTCGTCCTCTGCGCCCCGTGCTTCTCTCACCGACGTCATGGACCTCTCCATCGCTCACTACCCCGCTGAACTCCTCTCTGCTGGTGCGCTCTGGCGTGATGGCATGGGATGGCATGGGTGTGACGTGATGCTATGTGGTGTGGTTGATGGGGCGATGCTCCTTCCCATGCCATGGCAAGGGTAAGCTAGTGTTGGGTGGGTGTGCCATCACACCATGCATTTGCTGCAACCACAGCCAAGCAAATGCCATCCCCACTGTGACCAATCCTGCTCCAGTTTGCATGCTTACATTCTTTCTCTCTCGGGACCTACTGTGCTGATGCTATCACCAACATCTGTGGCTTTGCTGTGTGGGGGTACATGCAGGAGGCAAGAAGAAAGTTAGGAAGAAGAGCAGCAACGCATGGGTGGTCGGCAAGGGGTCAGCTGCCAATGGTCAGTCGCTCCTTGTGTTCTCTCTCTCCTTGTTTCTTCCTCCCTTTTTCTCCCTCGCTCCCCTCCTCTTCTCGTCTTTTTGCGTATTACACCCACACCAGCTTCATTCCTTCTTACACTGTGCCTAACCTTGCCGCAATTGTCCTCTCTCACCCTTTGTTTCGCTGCTGTGTGTCCCTGTGCCTTTCCCGTCTCCCCTTCCTGCATGTGTGCAGACCTAAACCGTCTGGACCAGCTTGCAACACTGGAGCAGAAGCTAGACAAGAACGCAGCGGTGAGACCCTTTTTTTCCCGGCCGTCATGGCCTATGCAGTCGTGTAAAGACGAGGGAATTGCAGTGGTGCAGTGCAGTGATGCATGCTGCATGCTGTGCAGTGTGTGGCTGTACATGACAGCGTGCTAACAGCGTGCTATTACGTGTGGGATGGCAGGACCGGGAAGGCAAGGACGAAGAGAAGAAGGAGGGGGAGGACGATGAGGAGGTGGAGGAGGAAGAAGAGGAAGAGGAGATAGGGGAGGATGACTACGCTCAAGTATGGCAGCTCTCCACACCCCACATTTATGCCGCTCGCTCACTTGCCTGCTTGCTCTGTGCCCCCCCGCCCCCCCCCCCCCCCCCAGTTTACGTTTCCCTAGCTTTCTGGCACTGCCTCACCGACCTTACCGTTCTTCCCTCCACGCCGTTGTTCTCTTTCCTAATGTGCTTTCAGAACTTTGGGTTTGATGATGACGATGAGTACCTGGATGAAGACGATGGTGCTGATGGTACGTGCTTGCTGCCTTTAGCACTGCCACTCCATGTCCCTGCACCACTGCCATGTGCATGCTGCTCCTTCACAGCCTATCCCATCGTTGTTTTTTCTCACCAGTCACTCTCATTCCCAACCCCCTGGATTCTTACTTGTGCATCCTCTTCCCCCTTTCCCTTTCCCCCTCGCCCCTGCACCCCCTGTGTCCACCTATTGGTCTTTCCAGAGGGCCCTGTGTTCTAAGCGTTGGCAGGGAAGCACCAATGCAGAGGCTGGGACGCTCCTGGGTCAGGAGCAGGTGTAGGTGCTGACTTTACCACAATTATACACTTGAGCTTTGGAAGGATCTGAATCAACACATGCAGGCCGCTGACAAATGGGGCCCTGTGATAGGACTAGCAGTGAATAAGCTGGTAGCTTAGGGGATGAGTAACTAGCTCTGTGTGAAATGAAACAACTGGACAATCCTGCATCAAGTTATACAGCATTGATCAGGTTCCTTATGGTCTTGTAAAGAAAGGAGACGCCTCAGTCAGATGTAAGCTTCAAGGGATGCAAGAATCCTTGATTCTCTACCTAGTACAAGCCATGTTCAAATCAGGTCAAGCAAACATTGCATCTATGGCTGCTCTGAGCAAACCTGCAACGCTCATGAAGGGGCGGACTTACAAATTGAAAGTCCATGGAGCGATTAGGGTGGTTAGGGGCGGAAGGAGAGAGCGGGAGGGAGAAGAGACATAAGGACTGGCAGGTGAAGGGGCTCGAGAGGAGGGCTAACTGCGTGCCCCAGATGGGCGCATGTTGGATTTGGGAGAAGCGTGAGTGGCGGCGAGCACCATGGCCATACGTCTGGCAAGGAGCCGCCTGCCAAACCTGCGCTTGAGCGCCAGTTAGTCGCGGATCGCGATTCGAGTCGCGAGAATCAGTGGAAGGTGAGAGCCGGTGCGTCCTATGCGACACATGGAAGGATCGTGGCAGATATGCGACGAGGAGAGCGGTAGGCGGAGCCAGCGCGGGGAGATGCGCGATAGACGTGGAAAGGAGGAAGACAGATGGGCGCAGAGTCAATGTCTGGCTTTCTTAGGCGCAGGGGCGTCCTCATCATCATCGTCATCGTCCTCGTCATCGTCACCGTCGTCGTCACCGTCACCGTCGTCGTCGTCGTCGTCGTCGTCGTCGTCGTCGTCGTCACCAGCATCAACTTCGTCATCGTCATCCCCCTCGTCGCCGTCGTCGTCCCCTTCATCCCCTTGCTCCTCGTCGCCATCCTCCCCGTCCCCATCGCCATCGCCGTTCTCTTCGTCCCCTTCCTCCTCCACATCCTCATCGCCGTCCTCTTCGTCCCCTTCCCCTTCATGCCCGTCTCCTTCCTCCTCCCCGCCCTCCTCCCCGCCATCCCCGTCCGCATCATCCTCACCGCCATCATCCCCCTTGTTGTCATCACCGTCGTCGTCCTCTGCCTCCTCAGTCGTCGCCATCGCCCGTCGCCATCGTCGTCGTCGTCGCCATCGTCGCCATCGTCGTCATCGTCGTCGTCGTCATCGTCGCCTTCTTCGTCCTCGTCGCCAGCGCGAGGACAAGGCGCGTCGGAGGCCTTGCCGTTGGCGGCGGTGGGAATGCGCGGAGCCAGCGGGTCGAGACCAGGGAGGTTCAGTTCTGATAGCTTCTCCCCACCCTTGTCTTGATGGTTGCTCTGCAGCGACAAGGGCGAAGCGCGCAGGAGAAGGGATCAGATATGGTACTGGCGATACGCGGCACCTCGGAAAGGCATTCAAGACGATACACGGGATGGAATTTGCGCTGACAGATGCGACCGGCGACAATATGATCAGATTGCGGGACCAGGCTCACCGATTTCGTCGACGCTTCCGCAAGAAACTCGGCGAGGGCCTCGTCTGGGAGGCCACACGGCACGTCAGAAGGAAAAAGCTGACCAGGGAGGAAAGCGAACTTGGACCATGGCTGCCTAAACCTCCCCCCCTGCAGCTCCGCTGCTGCGATTGGTCCTCTGCACATATTCACAGGCGTGCGCACCGCGGCACAGATGGCTGAGAACTGAGAAAAAACGGACGAAGCGCGTGACTACACGTCTGAAGGTGGTAGCTTGAAGGGTGCAAGAGTTGATTAGGGACTTCCTGCTGCTGGGCCTAGGGCAGAGGTAGGGGGAGCAGGGGGGGGACGGGAGGGAGTGCGGGGAGAGAAGAGCGGGAGAGGTTTGGGTAGAGGGGGACTGGCGCTCGAGGAAATAAAGGGGAGGGGCGCGATGTGAGAAGGGGGGCTTGGGATATTGTCGGAGGCGAATAGGCGCAAGGAAACCGCTTGCATGATGCGGAGAGGGGTTGCGGAATGAGGGGGAAATAGGTGGGGCACTCTGCGGAAAGGTGGAGAAATTGGGAATGTGGCGGAGTTCCCGTGGGCTTGGGAATGTGTGCTGCTTGGTAGCTTGATTGATTGAGGAAGCAGACGAACTCGCGACGCGGTGAATGAGTTTCCGGGGGTGACATTTTCGCGTGGGTTGGGGGGAGGGGGAGGAAGCGAAGGGGGAA